ATCAAAATATTAAAAAGGACACAGCGGCGTGTTTTTGATCACAGCTAAAAAGAGACGTACTGTGAAAATTAACGCGTACATCCAAATAAAGTGCTGCAATGAATAAAGATCTTCCGCATATGAATTTGTAGGTATAACTTTTTAAGCTCTAATTCGCATGTTAGCCAACGTCTGAAGAAGTCTCCAATAACAGTGCGTTTCATAAAACGTCGCAAAGTGGCATTTTAGACGAAATGGCAACGTTGCAAAGAAAGTTGTATGAACGAGCTATCGCAACTCCGGATTACAAATGTAAAATTTTTACAAAATGCCGCGCGTAAGTGAAAAAGACAAGTTTTTACAGTTACATTTCGAAGCAGTCTTAACAAATATACTTTTTCTTGAAGTATTCCAAGCCAAATAAGTATCATGTGACTTTAAGTTTGCAGTGATTGCAAGCTCAAATATTATGGCAGTGTCGCAAATTTGTCGAAAGAGAGTTTCCATACAAAAGTAATCAGCTGTGTCGCAAGGTGGCAAATTTTGCAACAAATGCGACATTTGCAACAACTTTGCGACGTTTAATAAATCCCACTAATATATTTCTCGTGTTGCAGGTTTAGGGTGCATTTAGCTATTGGATGAAAATCAGCTAGAAAATTTTACACAAATATCTAATTATCTCTTACATATATTGAGGATGGAGTTCATCATATCGCACACCTAGATCTTAAGTCAGCTAACTCAATTTTCAGAGAGAGGTAACATAACTGCTTGTGGATTGTACAGATTCAACGCAATTAATACAAAAACATGTATGACAGTAGTTTTTTAAGTAGTGTATAAAATCATGAAGAAAAAAGTATTTGCATTTATTGGATGTAAGTCCTATGAGTTGATTCATGCAAAAAATCGCAGATAGATTTCAACGTATTGCTTTTATGTGCCACGCACACTAATTATACAGAGTTTAGTACAAATTGATCGAACGGTTACCGAGGTACACATATGTGGTCATAAGTGGGCGGTTCCTATTTTCCAAAATTTTGTTATACACGTATTTTTTTGCTAAAGAAATATTGCAAACATCAATTTTGAATAAATTTGCTTCAGTATTTACCGATTTATCGAAGATTTCGTATTTCTTGAAATTACCGTTATATGGGATGTGGGCTTGGTCATTGTCCGATTTTAAAAATTTTCAGCTGTTTGGTATGCTTTACTAAGAGCAGCAACTGTACCAAGTTTGCGAGACATAAGTGGGAGTGGCTACGCCCATTTTCCAAAAGCTTTTAATATTCTTATTTTTCGCCTGAAAATCATTATAACTATCAATTTTGAGTGAATAAGCTTTAGTAGGTACTGAAATATCGCTGCTGTTATATGGGAGGTAGTCGTGGTTATTTGATGATTTTTCCCCATTTTCAATCCCATCCGTTCTTCATTGAAAAGAAGTACACATACCAAGTTTCTCTAAGATATCTCAATTTTTATTCGAGTTATCGTGTGTGATGAACGCACAGACAGTCACCACTTAATTGATTTCTTTTTTCATTCTTAGCATTTATGTATACATTAATATATATCTATTTCGAATTGTTGTGCACAAGTGCGCTCGGGTATAAAAATACATATTAAAAAACTAAAACTTTATCGTACATCCACAGCCTCTAACTTAACACCACATTTTTTAGTCCAACGTTCGGATCAGAGTTTATAATATATGTATCAAAAGGTGGCAACGCTGTTCAAACAATAAACCGTACTTGCTCATCTGTTGGCAAAACTCTTTAGTTTGACACCCTATTTTTGAAAATTCGGGCGAACGGCGTAAATATTACAATTTTTGTGCAGGTGGCAACCCTGCATATCGAGGGATCAAGCCCTTCCATTTGACTTCTCATTTTTTTAAATCGGATGAACGGTGCAATTCTATGCAATATTGCCTTCGCATAGAATAAGTAGTATCACTAGCCCAAGGACCAGTTTTTCAGTGTACGGCTGTGGTTAAAACTTAGTTTAAACGCTCGAGCTGGCTGGTTTAAACTAAGTTTAGCCAATAACATTCAGCCACCTGTTCAATTCAAACTCAGTTTACGAGAGCTAAGTTTAAACTGCCACCGAAAAACTTGTATCTTATAGCTACACTAGCAATTACCCGGCGTGCTTCGCTGCGCCTTAAATGTATTTTTGTGTTGTAACTCTCCCCCTAAGCTCTTATGGCCTCATTTACAAAACATTTTTAAATAACTTTATGAAGTCAGATTTAAAAAAAATCGATCTATGAAGCATTGTTTATTTTTTTTTTGAGTTAATATATTTTCGAAGGTAATTAGAAAATATGTAAAGAACCGACTTTCTCTTGGAAATTTAATTTATAATCTTATAACTGGAGTCTACTATCGCACCCTTTCCTCAAACGTGTATTAATTCAATATTCAAATAACGTATATTTATATAATTTGAAAAAATCTCCCTACTATACAAATATGTACAACCATATTAACTAATATTTTCGAATGTTGTGAGAGGGAGTAACAAAACAAAATTACTTTTAAGGCGCAGCGAAGCACGCCGGGTATTCGCTAGTATTCTATCATTAGCCGTGTTTTATTTGTCCACAAATTTAAGCTATTAGCTTATTTTGTATGGAGGACTTACCCAACATAATTATATTGGCTTATGAAAAGCTATCTTGGCTTGTATATTGAACAAGAGTCATTGCCATTCAGCATCAGAAATTTTCTCCTTCAGCCAATGAGAAAGAGGCAAAAACTTTCTTTGGCACTATTTGCAGTCAAACAACTGTCAAAATTAGGCTAACATAGGAAATCAGCTAATTTCGTGTTAGTTGGCCAAGATTTAGCTATTTGCTTGTGATGGTTGAATAAAACATGCCTATTCTTGATGTTCAATCAGAGAACGCTGTTTCGCTCAAATAGTCACGTCGCTCATACACATCTCTTTTGCCTTTGTGAGCTCTTGTTTGATCGGCACTGATGTACAGATTTTTCGCGTAGCTATGCGCTGTATTTGGCAACCAAATAGGCTTATGCTTGTACGTCTTTGTAATTTTTTGTAACTTTACACCCAAAAAAAGGGTGCTTATCTTCCAAGAATAAAAAATATAAGTATGCCACTCTGCGTCTTTTTACAAATGCTTCGTTTTAAAAAAAAATATATTAAAATCGGTTTAGTACTTTGAGAAATAAGTCGTTACAAACGTACTCCATATAATCAATTTTATATAATAGTATAGATGCATATGTATATGAACGCACGCTGTTTGATTCACCAATAAATACATTCACGAACGATCTGGACTTGATTTATGCTTCTCGTTCGCGAACAAGGACGAACTAGAAAATGTGTGTATGTACACGTTCGCGTATTAAATCATAAATGTATGAACGTCCATACATGAATATTTCCGCTCTCTGCCTTTGGGTCCGACGATAGGCCTTGGAGGCCTTTCACCGCTCTTTTTACCCATGCTAATGAGGGAACATCATTCCAATTTATTATTTTGACGCCGCTGAACCACCCTGCTCAGTCAAATGTCGGCATAGGTGCGTTCGGCTTCGCCTCCCTTTTTAGGAATAAGACTTCTAGTAGTTTCATTTCCACTGCCTCTCACCTTTCTTGCATCAGTTGTCCGAGCGGGTTACTGCGTCGATGAGCGCCACGACCAGAATTGGCTTGGCAATCACAATGGCCGCCGCCGATGCCTTGGATATAGAGGGCAGTTGTATGAAGTTTGGACTCGTAGCCTCGTCCCTACATTTCTGTTTCTTTAGAGGCTTTGCTACCACCTCTTTAACCTTTTGCTTGCTTGCGACACCACAATTTGCTCCTCGATGCGGTTTGCGAACTTTAGAGCCTTAGCAGAGAATTGTGTTTTCGCAGCTTAGTAAGACCGGCCGTTCTCTAGTTCCTCCCTAGCCTAAACCAACCATTTCTCCTCCTCCCCAGTCCGGTTGGTCTAGCCACCAATTTGGTCGCAGATCTTAAACGCAGCCGTGTATCGCGCTTTAGCCTTCAACCCCTACTCAGTCTCCTCCTCCGTTCAGGAAAATCATCCTGCGATTTGGCCGGGATTCGCTTTATATGTGCTTGAATTCTTTATTTTATGTAGTTATGGTTTTCTAGCAAAAACGCAGTAACATTTCTATAGTAATGCAATGTAGAACTTTACTGTATTATTTACCAAAAACCCATAAATAAAACAAATATAGAATACAAGGGCATATACAACAAATTACGAATACGACTATTTATATACAGCGATCTTCTCTCATATATAGTATTAACAGGTTTTCTTTTGCATAATAATTTTAATTAAAATATTTCGGAGCCATATCAATAAAAATTTGCTGTGCCATCTTTCGCCTGCAGCAACATTTGGCCAGTGCACACGACTATGGCTAACCATTCATTCATATGAAATTACATCGATAATACCAGGTCAACCACACAATCACACTACCACAGCAATCACAAATGCTTAAACGAGCAGAAACAGAAGCAAAAAAAATACAAAAAAAAATGGAATAAACAAAATGCACCGGCTGCTCTTGAATGTGCACCGATGGCTGACACTTATTCTTTGTGTATTTTTTTCTTTCAAGCAAATGCCAATTTCAGATATGCCGTGCTGAAAGCGAAGGCATGGGCAGGGCAAAGAATGTAAGCGAAAGGTGCACAGCAGCTGGAAGCAGGCAAGCGCCTGAGGCACTCAAGCGGCTGCCGCAAACAGCGCTCGTTCGTCAGCCGTGGAACAGCTGTTTGCCTGCAATACAACACGTCCCCAACCACCGCGCCAACAGTAACAGCGCGCATGCGTCACGAAAAGTATTTTCCTCTGCTGTGGATGACAACAGATGGAAACAGCGACAAAAATGGAATGTGTAAACTACCACCTTTGTACTGACCGAGAGAAGCACATTTCCGAGATCCGAACACAGCGAGTAACTGTTCCACACGAAAGGGCATCATCACTAAAGTGAAATTTTGGCCAGAGCCAAGTTTTAAACGCGGAACCGACGTTGCCAAGTGCACACGTGAAGCGGGTGAATACTTCGAACCAAGGCGAGGAAAATATTTTCCAGAGGTACATCTCTAGGAACGCAATGTTTACGTAGTGACATAAAACAGACTGACGGAATTAATTGTGCATCAGTTGTTCTTTGTTTTTGTCGGGCTGTGTTGCATTCGTAGTGTGTTTTCATTTTGCGTTTGCAAAGACACGTCGACGCTGTAAAAGCAATTGAAAATCCGATGGTTTTGCGACCAGCTCTCGGTTGAATTGGATTCAGTGCCATCGGTGAACGCGTTGGTGCCGGTTATACGAAGCGGTCAGGTTAAAGTGTGCCACTTGGTTGTCTATAGCACTAAACGCTTAACATAGTTCATAATATGAACATATGTATAATCAGATATTTAGAAATTACAAGTTCTATATTGCAGAGTGCAAATTGTGAGAAACGAGGGAAAGAAAGTTTGTGCCCTCAGTCTTTTGTGTTGGTGCTTCTTAAGGGTGCCCTTCGCCGCATGAGCGTCTGCGCCAGTGATTCGCATTTGCCTGTTTACATCAGTTTAAGTGTAAACAAACCAAATATTTAGTAAAACTGTAACTGAGTAACAACTACTTATAATGAATATTGCCGCATACATTCGTATATACATATGTATGAATGATTGAAAACCTTTCACAACACATGTAAGTGCAGCTGTTTTAATATTGAAACAAATGCGGTGTTCATAACAAAAAGCTGGGCAGAAACAAAAAAAGCAGAAAGGCAAATAGAGCAATGAAAGAACGAAATAATTGAGACTAGAATTAACAGACAAAAAAATTAAATTATGGGTCAAGGTGTCTTCAGAACTTTGAAATGAAATATAAATTAAATTTAACTAAGTGAATACTTAAAACCGATCATCTTTTTTGGTAAACGGAAGCATAATAATAAAAGATATTGTTATATATGCATGCATGTATGTATGTACATACATATGTAAATGAAAATTATTTACCGTGAAGTGAAAGTGGGATCCATAACAGAACCACAGCTGAAAATTGCGTTATAGTGAAGTGTTGCCGACAAAAACATTCGCACGTGTTTGCCCGATACATTGCAGACCTTCAAAATAGAAATACATATACCAAAGCAAAAAAACACACCGCCACTCAACAAAATCAACTAGCTCATTGCTCGACTCGCCCTTTCCGCTGAAAACATTTCAATTCAATTTTGCGTTGTTGACGTGCTCCGGGCGAACTGAAGAAGGATAGAAAGCAGCTGCAGCTGTTTCACTGTGTCATCCAACTGGCTGCCGGACAAAACAAAGCGAAACTAGCAAATACACAAAGTAAACCAATGCATTTGTGTGTATATATGTATGTATGTATGTATGTATATGAATGTGCGTGCGAAGGCGCAAAAATAAGACGATCGAAATATGTGTTTGAGTGGAGCAGAAAATTAAATTAGGGTCCCTGTGGGGAAAATATCTAGTTCTAAACTAGTGCGCTTCTAGTACATTTAGACCCAGTACTGGACGCGATAAATCTCTTTTGCATGCAAGCAACTGGCGAATTTAACATGGCGATGTCCTAGGAAGTGTCAATTGCCCTCCGCTGCATCCCTTTTTCGATAGTTCCGAACTAGTCCCAAATTCTATAGTTCCGACCCAGTTCTAAAATCGACAGACGATAGAAAAAAGTATCATGCTTTTTCAATCTTTTTGGTTCTTCCGTGTGTGCGATTTTAAGTTATTTTGGAAGAAATGTGTGTTCAATTTGAAATTAAATTTGTTTGAATGGTTGTAAGAAATGTACGTTTACATACCTTTAGCTGTAGCTGAGTTTGCAGAGGTGCTCGCTGTTATTTCTTGGATTCCAGACGGTCCTAAGATGCTGAAATGTTTACACAAATTTTAGTTTTGTATTACCAAGCTATGAAAAAGCATCTGCGAAACACTAATAGAAGCGTATTTGAACGAAAAAGCCGCCGAACACATATCTATGTAAAGTAAACAAGCCCCCCGCTGCATCCCTTATTCGATAGTTCCGAACTAGTTCTAAATTCGACAAATAAGATCTAGTGCGTTCTGCATCCCTTTTTCTATAGTTCCGAACCATTTCTAAATTCGTCACTTTAGATATAGATTTCTAGTGAAAAAAACTGAAAAAAGTAGTTTTTTAAAAGTACCACTTTTCGCCGATTTTGGACTGCTGGGGATATAGTTCCTATCGGACTAGTTCCTTTTTGGCGATAAAGAACTATTACGGAACTAGATATTTGATTCACTAGTCCGCGGTTTCCCTGCAAGGATTTAGACCCAGTACTGGTTCTCGATAAATCCCCCCGACAGACGAAAAACGTAACAAGATGTTTTCAAACTGTCTTTTTGGTTTTACCATGATAGCGATTTTTAATTATTTGCAAAGAAATGTCTTTTAAATCTGAAATCTAATTTGTTTCAATGAATGTATGTAAATCAAACTGGGCATTTGAAAACACGTTTACATACCTTTAGCTGTAGCTGAATTTGCAGAGGTGCTGCCTGTTTTTAGTTAGATTCCAGAAGGTCCCAAGATATGTTTTAATGTTAACACAAATTTTAATTTTGTATTACCAAACTATGAAAAAGCATCTGCGAAGTGCAGATTGAGAGCGTATTTGAACGAAAAACCCGCCTAGCAAAACTCTATTTAAAGTAAACAAGCCCCCCGCGCATCCCTTTTTCGGTAGTTCTGAACTAGTTCAAAATTCGCTAGACCAGATCTAGTTCGTTCTGCATCCCTTTTCTATAGTTTCGCACAGTGATGGAAAAGTAGGCACAATAGTACCATTTTTGGCACTTTCATTTACAAGATCAATTTCACAATTCATTCAGTTTTGGCACAATCATAAATTACAGAAGTTTAGACAGTATATAACAAACAATCATATCGTTGTTTAAAGTACAAAACCGCATATGTGAGGTTGCATAAATTATTTTCTAGAGAGTAAAAACACTCATTTTTCAAAATGGTTCTCTTTTTTATAAAGCATTCGCATTTCTGGCTAGTATATTTCAGGACGAACGGATAAGGATTGAGCCAAGAGCTTGTGTGAGTAAATCCAATTTCTGGCAGCAAATGTCAGTTACGCGGTTTTGCAAAACGACGATACACGGTTTTGTACTTTAAACAACGATATATTACTCATAGATTCGAAAAGTGAAAATTAAAACCTCTTAAAATTTAAAATAAGGGCCATTATATAAAATTAATAAAAATTATTCAATGTAAATAATAGTCAAAACTGGTCAAAATGTCGCAATGCTATTATTTCGTACATAGGTATGTATATGTGTAAACAGGTCCGAACAGTTATATTTAAATGTTTTTCCCCTTCGTAATTGAAATATTGTGTTATTTTAATATGATTTTACTCTAATAATTCAATGAAGTACATTTAAAATTAAAAATAGATAATATTTCTAAAAATACATATGTGGTTCTTAAAAAGCCTTAAAAGAAAGCAATTTCAATTTTGTGGCACTTTCATCTCCATTTTGGCACTATTTTTGCAGGCCTTAGGCACAATTTGAAATTTGAAATTCCATTGCTGGTTTCGAACCAGTTCTACATTCGTCATTTTAGATATAGATTTCTAAAAACAAAATTGTTTTTTAAAAGTACCACATCTCGCTGCTTTTGATCTGGTGGCGATCTAGTTACTATCGGACTGGATCGTTTTTGGCGATAAAGATCTAGTATGAAACTACAAATTTGGTACACCAGTTCGGAGTTTCCCGACAGGGATATGATTACTATTATGTAATTATTGACAGCCTTAAAATGTTAAATTTATGTACGAAGGAAGGATGAAGAGGAACAAATGAAATCTCTTGATACGAAAATGGTAGTAGAAAAGTACACAA